GTCTAGACCAAATACTAAACCCAGACACAAGCAACAGAAGTAGTATTTGTCTTTAACAATGATCAATATTTACACAGGGAGCAATGCAAGATTGAATGATCAATTCTGCCAAAATCTGATTCTCAAGCAGAGCACTGGTGCAATTTATCACTTGACTATGAGCTTGCACACACCATGTAAAGACAACTACTTGTGCTATCCAGTATGGGCAGCTTGCAGAGATTCTCACGGGGTTGGTTTGCTTGTTTCTCACCAGCAAGTTGTAAGTCTTGTACAATATTACAATACTTTTCCTGTTCTTCCTTACCATTCCTCAAGACATGTAGCCTTCTCCCCCTAAATATTCTAAAGAGTATAACTTTCTGATAGGCAGCTTTCCCAATTGATAAGTGCTCACCTGTGTTAACTGCCCAGGGGCCTCTGCTCTCATCCTGCGCTTGTACTTTCAGGGCCTCTACTACAATCTTAGCAGTGTCCACACTGCAGACACCACGCTGGGGTTACCAGCACCTCACATAGCATTACATGCATGTATTTGAAGAAACTTTAAGTGCATTCTCAACTACTGTTATTAATAGCTAGTTATAACAATATAAATAGCAGTTACCAAGCATGCTTAAATTTTTTTTAATCTCTTCAGGTTCTAACAACCCCTACCAAGAGAAAGGCTTTATTGATAAGAGTATTTTAACTATCAGCTCATACTGTTCTCAACTCCCAAACCAAGTTTAACAGGGTCACACATTTTAAGCCTAAAAATGCAAAAATAATTTTAAGATTTCGCAATTGCTATCACAATACCCAAGTCGAACAGTCAGCTGAAAAAACGCAAAATTTTCTTCTGTTAATTGTTACTTCATACAGTAAAAAAAAAGCCAACCCAGAACAAAACTAAAAAGCATACTTTATGTTTTCCTTTATGCAGTTGGATTATGGTCCTCATTTTCATCCGCTTATACAAAAAGAAAGACCAGAAATATGAAAAGCTGTAAGTTATACACATTTCAGTCAGTGTTTACATGTGCCTGGAACTTAACTGTCAAGTTCAGTCAAGTTGGGAGTAAAAGCCCTCCTCACCCCTTGCCAATGTTTTATAGCACATATTTTGCAGTTTTCATATGGATGCCAAAAGCATTTCTAGGTACTGTTCTGAGACGAGGTTTAACCACATAATAAATGAATACACACCAATCAAATAGGAGTCTGATTCTATGACAGCACTCTGTACTCCACAGCCATTCTCCATATTTCTCTTACAGGGCATTTTTTGCCTATGGGCAATCATTCAATAATTTGTAGATCACAATTTCATGGGCAGACTCTGCAACACATGGGGTTCTCTGAACAAACTCCGGGATTTTGCTACTGTTTTACTTCGCAAACGCTTAATTCCTGGTAGCTACATATACCTGTCAGCTTTGCTGGAGGCTATTTTGTAATGATTCATACTCACTATGTATCAGTCTGACTTAAAATGAGAATTCAGCAAGTGCTGACGTGGATGACGTGCTGTTTCAGTTTTGGGTCACCTCTCTCTGGTGAAATGCTATTCTGTATCAGATATTTTGTGAGTTCCCTACACCAAAGATTCGTCCTCAGTTAAATGGAGTAGGCAGCTAGCAAGATAATTTCTAATAAATTATTAATGATAATAGAAACAAGGCGAAAAAAAGAATGACTTTGTTCCAATTATGCCCAGTATTTTTAAAATAAATTGCAATACAATTCCATACTTTTCAGAATATCTTCTATACAAACGTCTCAAAGTGCTTCACAACATCCATAATGTTACATAAAACTTGTAGCATAACAGAGTACAGCAATTTCACCAAAAGGAGTGACATAGAAAGCATTTAAATCTTACTGAAATCAATATTAAATATTAAGTCTCATAACTGGCACCACACTTAAAGCAAGATCACACTGGAAATCTAATGAACTGATAATATGAAGACATGTAACAAGATATATATATGTAATACTGAAGCCTGTATGGAACATTATGGGAAAAAACTGGGGCTCTATTCAGCAATTGCTATAAAGATTATTAGCAACACATCATTACTATCTTACACACTAATTCATATATGTACTGTTCTATTTAGAAACAAAATGTGATGCAATTAGTAGGGCATTGAAAGGCTGATTTCAGCAGAGTTCCTTTTGTATCTGGATTTCCATAGGGAGATGAACAAGCAGATCTGTTTTTACAGGGACATGATGCAATACCTGTTTTACACAGGTCCCTCTTTTATGCTACAAGACCATATTATTCTTTAAATAGAGTTTTCCTATAGTTTCTACTTATGAGATATATATATACTACTTGTGCACAATACTCTATTTTTCATTACAATAGGCATGGAATATTTACTTTAGTGCACTGTGAAGTTTATTTTAAACTTCTCAAAGGGAAATTTTGGGGATGTGTTGGTTAATGCAGGAACTAACACTTAGGGAAACCTGTTAACTTTATACACCAGTAAATTTTGTAATTCATCTGTATGGTATAATTAATAAAAATATTTAAGATTAATTATATTCTTCTTATATGAACATATTTTATGAACTAGTATCGATCTAGTGGAGTTTGATATCCATTGATCAGAAAACCTCCATAGGCCTCTTGTGAGGTGAACAGCTGCAGATAACCTCCAGCAGTGCCAAGTGCAGCTCCACTTTTGCTGAGACTTACACCAACTTTGCAGTTAAAAGCTGCACCACTGACATGCTAGAACAGCAGGAAACCAAACTGCTTCAGCTATGGATTGAATTGCACTCTCACTCCATGAGTTAAATCAGGCGAGCAAATCCTAATCCTGGCTTTTCTAAAAAGAGTAACAAACTCCTCATCCACTGCACAATAAGTAGGGTTGTCTCCCTTCACCATCACATCTGCAATAGAGAACATGGCAGATATTTCATCAATTCATCATCATGGCTTATAACTATCTGTGACAAAAAAGAGTGGTACAGTACATTAAAGCCGCATGAAAAAACTAAGAAGGTAAAAAGGAGTTTTAACCATCTAAAGTAAGAATTACAACAACCCATTGACAATTCAGTGGAACTGCTTGTTTTAAGAGTCATAAAACAAGCATTGAAATATCTTAAGGTATTTATATATTTGATTTTTTTTTGCATTTATGTTACAAACCATACTTTTATGTAGAGTCAGAGATAAACTAAATTGTGCTAAATGTTAAAGAGTACATTTTAGAAGATTTTTTAAAACCTGATGGAATCTGACAAATTCCATGTATCTACCATATGGTTGACCCATATTAGCAATGGTCACAATGTAACTGAACATTACTAAAGCTTTACTAGTGATACAGAGAGACTGAGGTGCCCTCAATTCTCCAGTGCCTCCATTTCAGCAACATCAGAACCAAAGATTACACTTCTTATGTTTTTCCTATAGTTTATAGTAAAAACAACCACCCTTCTCATTTACACTGGTTTAAATAACCTAATCATAGAGGCACAGAACTCTGGGACTCGGTTAAAGAACAGTCAGGAAAAGTGTTTCCCTAACTGGTGGCTACCAAAGCAAAAATATTTTTTTATCCAAATAAGCACACATGACTTATAATTTGGGTCCTGCCAAAGGAATGCAACGCAGTATACTAACAAACCAAAAGGCCACAGGCCCTTCCTACTGCCAGACTTCATTCAGCCAAGTAAGTGGGTTGTTTCACACTGAATCAACATAGAACTGACAGCTTGAGTTAGAAGACAAACTTCTGAGGTACACATTTCAGAATAATATTCATCCTAAGCCAAACGCCTTTCACCAGCCATCTCCATATAGTTGTTACAGCGTATTCCTCAGCAATGGATACAAAGTATTGGACAACACCTCATATTCATCCCAAACTTGTCATTCTTTGTCTCCGACTCGCGTTTGAGACGTGGCAGACTTCTGTTTTCAGAGCAAACAAAAGGACTTATCCGACTTTTAACCACAACCACTACCTCCCCCCCGCAACGCCGCTTTTGCTCTCAGGATCCCAGTATTTTCGGCGACCAGAAGGTGCAAACCGCGGCTGCTCCTTCCCAGCTCCGAGCGGGCCGGGACCTGTTGACAGAAGGAGCACGGAGACGCTGCTCCAGCCCCTAAAAGCGACCTACCTGCGGACGGCGAGGCCAAAGGCCCGGCCGGGCAGGCTCCGCGAGTGCCAGCCAGGCCGGCAACCCGGCTCCCTCGGGCGGGGGCCGAGGCCCGAGCGAGCCCCTCGCCGCCCCGTGAGGGGAGCGCGGGGGCCCTGCGCGATCCAGCCCCTCCCCGGGCCCCCCAACGGCTGTAAGGGTCACCGTGCCCCAGCCTCGCGTCGTCCGTGTGTCCCCCCCCCACAACACCCCAGCCCCCCCGGCTCACCGGCACCGAGTTGAGCCCTTGCTGCTCCGAGGCCATGACGAGAATATTGTGGAAATCCATGGCTGCCTCGGGGACGGAGGGGCCGTGAGGCAGCCGCCCTGCTCCTCCCCGCTCCCCTCCGCGCCCGGCAGAGGCGACACCACCCGCCCGCCCCTCCGCGCCGCGCCGCTCGGCTCCGCTCGCTTCCGGCCGCCGCCGCCTACCCTTTATATCACCTCGCCTCGCGCCGGCGTCACACCGGCCGCGCGTCACTTCCCCTGTGACGAGCGCCTTGCGGCCGCTGGGGAAGGCCGGGGGCGGCGGCGGTGGTAGCGGGGCCGCCTCCTCTTCCTTCGCCTTCGCCTTCTCCTCTTCCTCCTCCTCCACCTCCTCCTCTCCGTCAGCCCCGGAAGAGCGATGGGGGGCGGTGGCGGCCTAATAAAGGGTGGCCGGGGCCGCCCCCGCCCAGCCCGCGGCCCGTCGCTGTGGGGCCGGCGCTCCGTTGTGTCCCCTCGCGGCCCTCAGCATCACCCGGAGAAACACCTTAGCAGGCCCCAGCCTTGACATAGAATCGCGTCGACAAATCGAATTAAATTACTGATTTAAATTTATTATTATTTTTTTTAATAGCAGCTGGTGCTGTTTTCGGCGGCAGTGAGGAGACATCTGCCCCTGTCCCTCGCCTTCCCCGTCAGCTCCAGGGGGCTGCCGAGGGGCTGGTGGCTGCGCAGCAATCCCCTAGCGAAGGAGCCCGTATCCAGTTTCCACAGCGATCTTGCCTTATCAAGGCTTGAAAAGCAGTGCTTGGCATCTAGGGTTGTCACAGTTTCAGCAGCAGTGCACTCTGGGCCCTGGGAATACCACCTGGGCTCCCAGGAGCAGCGCCTGCCCTCGGAGTGGCCAAACCAAATGTTCCTTGTGTATTCAAATGTTTTTCCAAGTCTCTGACAACATGGAAAATTGTGCAAGAACACCAGCTGGTGTAAGACGCTTCCCTTACTTCAGTTGTCAGCTCTTTCCTACTACTGTTATCCAAGATTCATCGGACAAAAAAGTCCTCTGCTCTCTACTTCTCATAGAAACCTGAGCACTGAAAGGAAGCTTTTTTTTTTTTTTTTCCCATCTTCATTTTATCCTTCTTTTACATATCTTATTCTCTAACACTGATATTACTTGATGACTCTTCAATTTCAGTTCCTCCAGGTTCCTGCCTTTTCCGGTCTCTCTTTGCCTCTTTGATACCCTCATTTTATTTTTTCTGAATCTGAAACTCCTTTCTGGCTCTAGCTGTAAGCCATGTTGCAGCCTGGTGTAAAGATGCTCAGCATGCCCCTAATTGAGGGGAGGAACATGCCGGTGTATTTGAGTGAGGTGCTGCACCAGTTAACCTGCAGTAGTTCTTGAACTACAGGAGATCTGAAGCTGTTTCTGTAATGTTTGCTCTGGTGTCTCTCTTCCTGGCTCTGTGCAGAGTAGTCACTCCTCCTGATCTCCCACCGCTTTCTCTTGGGCCACAGCCTTGATTTAACCCCTTGTCCTCTAAGGGCTTCCTTTTATTTCTCACCTCCTTAAGACGCTGTGCTGACTTCTTACTTCTGACTCACATCTAGACCACAGCTTCTGGTTTACACCCTCTTTATTATCACTTTCTTTAAACTTTTGGTTTAAGATTTATTTTTTTTTTTTAATTTTAAGACTTTCTAGTCTCCACAGGCAGCAAGTCATTCATCAATTTTTCTTTCATTTTTGCCACTCTGTTAGCCCCGGTGATACTGTCAAGAAGGATATGATGCCACTTTCTCATAGTCATATCTGCCACCCCATCGCTGCTGTGGTGATGCTTTAATCAGAATTTCCTTGCTCCGTCTTGTATTTCTTGTAGCTCCACTCTTCCCTTCCTTGAGACGCCTTTTAGTATGACTCAGATTCCTGTATAGCAACAACAGTATTGACAGAGCAATGATTGTTGCTCTTTGGCTTTTATGTTTGCTTACTTTGGTCCCTGTTAGAGTTGGCAGGAACACTTGGCTAAATGCAGTCTTTATTCTGCTGACTGATCCTGAAGGTGAGTGGAGAAAATCTCTCCCTGCATCTAAAAGAGGAGTTACGACCAGGCTGGGGGATGGCATTGCATCTGTTTGCTGCATGCCACTTTTTGGAAAGTCATTACCTTTTCCTGTATGTGACAATACTGTGATATGACACTTCCTTCAGCAGAGGTGATTTATGCCTGTGTTAGGGCCAATGGGAGCAATAATAGCAGTGTGTAAATGTATGCTGCAGGCATTTTATAGGGCCATAGCACGCGACGCTGAGCTGTGTTAGGATTCCCAGGTTGCACCCATGGCATCTAAACCCAGATCTAGCACGTTACACGTCAGTACAGTGCCTTGTGGTTGTGTGTCTTCTGGCAGTTGTGCAAGAACAAAGGGGAACTTCCATGATGCGTATGGCTACAGCCACGTCCTCCCTGCATCTTCAGTCACTTCCCAGATTGTGTTCACTCTTCATAATATTTTCATCCATTTACAATGTGCTGGACTGATCCAGACTAAGCTTGTCAGGATTCCCAAGGACAGCTGGTCTGTCAGTGACAAGAGAAGAAACAACTTTTGTGCCTTTTGGCCAAACTGATATTTCTGTTAAATAAAAACCAAGATAGAAAATGTTTATTCCTCTTTTTGTAACTGTTGAGAGATACTAGTTGTTTAGCTTAAATAAGTAAGCTTTTGTTAGAATAAATTACTTAGGGTTATACCATGGTGTGATTTATGCTGTTTGCTTAGCTTTACTTAGCATGAGTAGCTAAATTTGATGAAGCCTTTACGCTGCAATAGAGTTAATTTTCTTAGTAATTTTCCTAGCAGCTAATACAGTGCTTTTAATACAATAAAAATGTTTATAACATACTGATGTTTTGGTAGTGTTTTCCCTTAGTCTGGACTTTTCAGTTTCCCGTGTTTTGCCAGCAAGCGCAGGTGTACAAGAAGTGTAGACCAGAAGATAAAGAGGCAGCAGAGCCTGCAAACCAACAAGAGAAGAGCAGTCAATGGCCTGCCTGTCTGGACATGGAAAAAGAATCCAATAAGGTGTTAGAAGATCCCAGACCAAAAATCCCCATTGGACTAAAAGATGCGTGGACAGCACGCGACAGGGAGCTGTATAGATCGCAATGGTATCATTGCTCAGGGATTTCTCTATTCGAGGTCCCTCCCCTTCTGGAGGCACTCAGCCCTGGCTGACCTTGCTGCTGTACCTTTCAATTAAATCACATTAAATTAAATTATAAAATCTGAACACCCGAGACTGTGCTGTGGGAAACCTAGGGTTGAGCCTGACGAAGGAGGGAGCGTGCACAAGAGTGTGTGTGTGTGCGTGTGTATCTGTGTGCGAGGAGTCAAAAGAGTCACCTGTCAGCCCACTGGGGTCACCCGCTGGGAAGGGACCCTGCTCTGAATGGGCAGCAGCTTCTCCTTTAACAGTAACTCTCTGATCTGTCTGTGCGTGTTTAATCTCAAACTTGCTTTGAAAGAATTATGAAAGTCATTGAATTTAAACCTATATCTTCCAGAAAACCAAAATAACTCCCCTCAAATCTCCCAAGAACCTGTAATTTCTGCCTCTGAAAATGTTCAGCTTGATTTATTCTTTTTGTGTACAACTTTTTTAGGGAAGACCACAGTTAAGTTTTATATTTACTAAATATCTTCAGATTAGGAAATTACTTGGGACAAGAACTGTTTAGAAAATACTTAGAAAATATAAGAAAGTGTTCCACCAGAAAGGGACTTCATTGCAACTTTTTATCCAGCTGTACTCAACAACAATTTTTTGCTCCAGCCGTGCACACTTCAGGCATGTGACTAATCCTATTAACTTTAAGTTAAGTGTGTTTGAGTGTTTAAAGGATTAGAGTCTAATTACAGGCCATCTGCAGAGGTCAAATATCAAAGGCTGTTCAGAGCCTGAGCTTTAGCTTTTTCTGAATGAGTAATATTTGTGTGAGTTTTCCTTTCCCCTTTTCATCCAACATCCTTTCTGCAGTAAATTAAATGGATGTTCCAATACGGCTTTTATTCAATGAACTGGATCTTCCTAATGTCCAACAGGTCTCTAGATCATAAGCTGTTTAGATGTTAGCAGAGCTGGTAATATGTGCTCAAAGCCTAGGACTTGGAAAACACAGGTTTGAACAAATAAAGTTTGCATAGGGTGGTGCCAGCATACTTTAGAGCTGCTTCTGATTTGAATTATTAACCACTAAGATTTTTTTCCTAATGATATATTAAACATAAATTGAAAGCAAGAGTCTCAGGATGATACTTGGCTGGTATTGACAATGTATAATTTAGACATCTAACTTGGGTGTCTAAATTATGACCTTTGGCTCCAAGCAGAAATACCAGAAAAACAGAAATGGGAACTGTCTCCTTCCTCCTGCCAGGAGGATCAATTAGATTTAAGGAATTGATCCAAAAGCTGGATCAGTTATATTTAAGTAATAGATTTTTGTCCAATCTGCACCTGAATACTCAAAACCTAAGGTTGTCATATCCCATAGTAATCTCTCTTGGTGTTTTTTTATCTGCACCATGAGAAGGCTATTTCAACATGTAACTCAGATCTCTGTTGCCCACTGAGCCTTTTCAGCTGATGAGTTTCTTGCCCTCTCCCTTAGAAATATAGTGCACATGTTTAGCCCTCCCCACTGTGTCTCCCCTTTCTCTAGGAGAAACCACTCCAATTCCTCCAATATTTCCTCATAAAATCTCTAAATCTCTATTCTAGCCAAAGCAGAATGCAACACTCCAACTGAAGGTTTACCGGCCCCAAGCGTAACAGAAGAATAACTTCATTTGCCTGGCAAAAAATATTCCTTTTTATATAGCCTCTGGTGCTTTTTGCCTTTTTTGTAGCAGCATGGCTGACTCCTGTTTGGTTTATGATCTGTGCTAACCACCACGTCTGTTTATACAGTGATGCTATCAGATCAGTAATTCCACAATCTGCAGTTGTGATGTCAGTAATTCTGCAGAGAGTAAACACATGTCCTTTGAATCACTTTATCCCAACTGTAATTTGCCAAGTTCATCGAAATCCTAGCCCAGTCCTCCAACAGTTGCTGTCCCTCCCAGACCAGTGGGTTTGATAAGCAAGTTGTCTGTTCTGCCATCCAAATTACTTAATGAAAACATTAAGTCGGTGCTATGGAGATACTCCTGCAGAATTCAGCTTGATGCATCCACCCAAGTTAACAACGTATTCTTGTTAGATATTCCCTGGGTCCAGCTGGCACCCAGTTGTGTACTTATCCATTGGTGGTTTTCTGTGACTTGCTTGTGAGACAGATGGTGGTGTGAGACAGTGTTCAAAGTCTCTAAAACCAAGATATCTGGCATCTGTGGCTTTTCTGCTATATGCAGGAGCAGTTACCTAATCAGAGCTGGAAATGAGCTTGTTTGACATGATTTATTCTAGACAAAGAAATCTCACTGATACTAATTTATTTTCTAGGTACTTAAATATGTCAACAGAGGGAGGGGCTTAACTCGAGCTGCACACTGTTTAATGGCTCAGCTGGTCACGGAAGGGGTATGGGTTCCTAGCACAGGAACGTGAGGTAGACAACCTAAATTCAGAGAACGTGAATTCCTCTATATGTGATCTAAAATTATCAGTTATCTAAAATGCATGTATTTGAAACCCAGAGCAATCACAAAATATCACTTTTACACTGCTGTACGCTGGGGACAGAAACAAACTTAATGCACCAAGAAATAAACCTCTGTAGTCTTTAAAAATGATTTCAAGTAACTACCTTGGATTTTTCAGGACAATTTTCAGCTTCATGCTCTAAACAAAGGCTATGAAACTTTCTGGTCCATACATAAGTGCAAACAAATACATTTGCACACCACCAAGCAGTTTGCCACGTAGCATTCTGTGACTGCCTGTGAGTATTCAGTGCACCCTAAAGTCAATGGGTGAACCGCGTTAGAAGGGTGAAGAACTGGGGGCTGTGGATCTCCTATCAGGTGATGAAAATATAAACGTCTTCATGAGAAAAAAACACAACATGAACAAAAAGTAGGTTTGCCAGAAAGTGAGGATAATGATACTGGATAATATCAGCTGGTGTTCTCTTAACCAGAGAAGAAAGAAGATTAAGAATGGGAAAAGAAAAGAACACTTATATTTGATTTAGCTGTTTAGGTTATTCAATAGCTTAGTTAGCTAATGTATCTTGAAAGTGCCTGTTGCTTAAACATGTCAAAAATCCAAAAAGAAAAGTCGATGGGAAATAGACAAAAAAACATTTATAATACATGGTATAAGGATATATAGACAGTAGGTTGAACTACTTGAGCAAGCAAAATATTAATAAGGATTATGAAAATAAGATACAAAGAAAGGATTGTTTTAAAAGAATAACCTCCTTTCCAATGTTGCTGAAAAGAAGGTAATGAAAAAACCCACCACCACAGTAAATGTGAAAAAGCAGTACTTAAACATTGAAAAGCAGCTACAGTGCCCAGATATTATATAAATTAAACAACACAGGTAAGACAGACGGCAAAGCAACAAGGGCTTTCCTTCATGGCAAGGTTAGACTGATTCGGATTGATGGAGAAACTTGAGCCTTAAGGGAGAGGAACCCAGCTAAGAAAACCTGGACTGAGACAACCGCCCCAGTTCAGTGAGTCATTTCCAGCAGATCCATCATTTGGTGCTGGCAAACTCAACTACTCTGAACCAATCCCCTTGTCTGCACTTCATCCGAGCTCCCAACTAAGAGATCAAGTATTTGCATGGAATATAAACTCTGAGAAAATGCTATTTCAGGTGCATAGAAAGCAATAGTTAGCAGTGCTGAGCAGATGTGAGTGCACACATGTACATACAGAGAACACACGTGTACTTGCTGGCTGTACGGTTACTTTGCCTAGGAGTCTATCCCCGTCCCTAGAAGGATGTAATTTGGTGTCACTGCTGGCTGCCTGTCCGCACGCCAGCTCACATGACCCGTAACAGGAATTTGTTCTTTCTACTTGGGTGCAAAGAAATAAAAAAGCTGTAAGAATTGAGAGCAATGCTAGAAATGACGAAGTCAAGCAACAAAGTCAGTAGCCCATGGGAGTCGCTAGTGAGCAGGGGCAGATGGGGCCTCCTGCGGGACTTTTACTCATTATTTTGGGGGGTTTTTGACAGCAGATGGCGGTCGTGTCTTTAGTACAGCAGCAGCTGGAGCCTACACTGTGGAGACACTGCACAATAGCATGTTCAGACAAGCATCTGTGACCCTATCCGGGTGCCAGCCGTTGTTGTTCATGTTGGCTGCTCCTCAGGCGCTTTTGTACACAACATCTTCTCTGCTAAAAGGCTCAGCGGAGTTTCCCCCTATCACTACCTCCCCCCTGAGCCTTCCAGGAGGAGATTCTTCCACAGAATGCTGCTGAGAGATAAGTAAACAACAAAAAGAGCATACCAAAGGTTTATCTATTTTACTGAAAGTATTTAAAGCTCTTCATAATCATACGTGCCTGTGAAGCTGAGAAATGAGTGTTTGCCACATGCAGTTGCAGATGGTTGTGGCATCTGAAGCAGATCAAATGGATTGTACATTTTCTCGTATTGCTCTGGAGCCAAAGCATCTTCTTTTCAAACACTTTGAAAAATATTTGGATTTATTTCCCAAACAGTGCTGAAAGCCTGATTTGAGGATCTACTTCAGTATTTTGGGGCTATAACATTTCTGAAAGTTAGGCACCCAGCTGTTTTTACAGATCTCTACCATATTACACATGAAAATAAAAACGATAAAATAAGCTGCCAAATGAAAGCAACCTAAAATGAGCTGTTTCTTGAAACAGCTTCTGCTCCTCTACCTATTGCACCTCTTCATCTGATTCTCTCCGTGTCTTGAAGAAACTCGTGCCTGGATTACCAGGTACCCCTCACCCTCCAAGATGAACAAATGCAATCCCTTTCGCATATTGTAAGGGAACAAGCTCCAGAATCAA